ATTTAATTTAATTTAATTTAATTTAATTTAATTTAATTTAATTTAATTTAATTTAATTTAATTTAATTTAATTTAATTTAATTTAATTTAATTTAATTTAATTTAATTTAATTTAATTTAATTTAATTTAATTTAATTTAATTTAATTTAATTTAATTTAATTTAATTTAATTTAATTTAATTTAATTTAATTTAATTTAATTTAATTTAATTTAATTTAATTTAATTTAATTTAATTTAATTTAATTTAATTTAATTTAATTTAATTTAATTTAATTTAATTTAATTTAATTTACCTTTAATTCCTTTAATTTAATTTAATTTAATTTAATTTAATTTAATTTAATTTAATTTAATTTAATTTTTTATTTTTTATTTTATTTTATTTTATTTATTTAATTAATGATTAAATTATGAAAAAAAGCATAATTTGTGGATAGTTTTGGCAATGTTCACTCAAAAAAATCAAAGTCCATAAAGTCAGATTTTTTTTCTCCAAAAAGAAAGAAAACAAGTTGCTAAAAAGGTTGAATCCAATATTTTGTAATACTATAGCATAACAAGAAATTGATATGCAATTTTGTAGGTCGGTCATTTTTGAATGGAAACACTACTAGTTTAACAAGGTGGAAAAATACAAAAAAGGGGGTGGGGGGTAGTCAAATAAGATAACATTAACTAGCATTTTGGGAAAAAGAGAATCCTCTCCGGGTCAAAATGACCAGAACATGAGGGTTAAATGATAACTGTCTGTTATGGAGAAACGCACACATTTATGTTCACGAGATTTCATGGAACGTCTTCAGTATATCTGATAGCAAAACACATGATTCATCACATTTATACTATATCTGGGAGAACAGTGCATGATTTTGTCTGAATTTGATTTTTTAAAAACTTTTTTTGTGCTTTATTAGTGTACAAACTCAGTTTGTCTGTTTTTATCTTTGGGTGCTTTAGCAACTTTAGCAATGATACGCTACCGTTCAAAGGTTTGAGGTCCATAAGATTTTTTAATGTTTTAAAAGAAGTCACTCATGCTCACCAAGTCTGCATGGATTTGATCAAAAATACAGTATGTAACCATTGATGATGATGTTGATGAAGATTGATGAGTGTCCACTGGTTGTCCAAACAATCACCAACCACCATGTGCTCCCAAACCGCTTCAGACCTTGAGTGAATAATCCCAAACAGTCCACGATAGTAAGTCTTAGCATAGGAATGTTTCTCATATTTACAGTGGGCATATAAAAGAGTCCTTCTAGAATACAATATACAAACTGAGTGTTAGCAGCATACTAATAAACACATTCAACATAGAGCAAACATGATAAACAAATTACAATTCATATATAAAGTCAATTGGAAAAAAAAATACAAGAACCAACTGAACATAGAAAAACACTTACATTGACTGAGCTTGAAACACAAATGTTTCTCAGTCTGGTCTCTTCAGCATTGAAGGTAGTATGAGAAGAAGACCATGCTTCCTCCTAACCAAACAATCCTCCTCCCTCTATTACTACACTTATGTTTAAGTTAGAGGGGGTGAGCAGAGCCTCTAGAAGTAGAACTACAACCAATAATAATCCATGGTAACAGGACTATGGACGGTTACAAGTAAAAACAGTAATTTTGTGACATATTATTACAATTTTAAATAACTGTGTTCTATTTGAGTATATTTTAAAATGTAATTTTTTCCTGTGAATTTTTCAGCATCATTACTCCAGTCTTCAGTGTCACATTATCCTTCAGAAATCATTCTAACATGCTGATTTGCTGCTCAAGAAACATTTCTGATTATTATCAGGATTCTTTGATAAATATAATGTTCCAGTAACAGAACAGTTTTATTTGAAATATATATGTTTTGTAACAATGTGAAAGTCTTTACAGTCACTTTTGATCAATTGAATGCATCCTTGCTAAATAAAAGTATGAATTTCTTTGAAAAAAACTCTTACACAACCTTTTGAACAGTAGTGTAGCAGCGTGAGATGCTTTTAAAGGCATTTTAAACATGTTATGATTATTTGATCACTTTTTGGCACTTTTTGTGACCAAAATGGACAGAAATGTTGTATTTTTAAAAAATATTTTTTAAAGTCTGTTAAGGTCTAAACAGTAAAAAGCCAAACCTAAATAGTAATAAAAATACACACTATCTACTACACATGCATGCACATTTTAACCTAAATGTTGAAACTTGAATAAAAGATGCATGTCCATGTTATTTGTCAGTGACCCTTTTATAAAATATAAATGAAAATACAGCAGTGTAGATCAGCAGACTACAGTTAAATGTACCAGAACAGAGTGCAGACTGTGTTTTGTAAGATGCTCCAGTGGCAGATCTAATGAAGACCACAGAGACCACGAGAAGTGGTCACGGGCAGTTCATGTCAAGGAACACACCATAGCATTTCTTTAATGCTAATATAAAAGAGCATATGCCAGGCTCTCTTAACAGAACAGCCTGCTTATGAAACTTTTATCGGATGTATTTGAGGAAAAGGAAACTTTTGAGTTGCCCTGAGGGAAGCTGGAGAAATGCTTTCTCCTCCGCATTTGTCTGCAAGAAGCATCCTTAGATGACTGCTGGAGGCCGACCTGCATGCGGGAGGCATAATCTAATGTACCTACTAAGAGATTTATATTTATTTAGCAAATGCAACGAATATCTAAGTGTGGCTTCTGAAAGCAATCTTAATCGAGATGGTCCCAGCAGAAGTTGCAATATTAATGGTAGGTGGCTGTGGTTTCTCCATCCGAACATCCTTGGGCTCATGAAATAGTCAGTGTGGTATAGATTCGAAACGTGCTAAAACGACCTGAACACAGGTCCATTTTAGAGGTGAGCCGGGTTCAAACAGGATGCAAGTCAGGAACAGCCAAAGCATTCACTACCTGTGCACTTTATACAAGCTGACTGCAACTTGGCTTTCAATCATCCCCTGTTCCTCGGGCCAGTGGAAATCAGAATAGCATGCACCCTTTATAGAGGACTAGATGGAGAGACGCAAAGAGAAAAAGAGGCAATCTCGGAGGAGAAAATAGGCTTGCAGTCAACCTGTAAAAAGGAACAAGGGTTGTGTGACATCCTTTTAGAATTGTGCATGCTTTAGAAATGGGCATCTATGAAGTATTAATGAAGCAGAGAGGTTGGACCGATGTACAACTAAATTAGGGCAGGCATTTCAGTGCTTTGCCCTGTTTACATTTGTTGTGTTCTTCATCAGATACGTGCCCACTCCAGATGACATTGAGATGTATAAATCACATAAAGGAGAGCCGAGTAAGCTGCATGTGGTGGACCAGTACATGATGGAGGTACACACTGACATCCCACTTAATCAGTGAAATAATTTATGATTTGATTGATATTTTTGTCTGTACTTTTTCGAATACATCTCTCCGCAGATACCTTTCATAATTCATGCAACTTTGATTATTAGATTGTGTTATCATAATTCTAAATTTATTTGATTGCAAAAAATTGTATAATGAAAAGCCTAAATGTGTACAATAATAATGTTTTTGCATTATCACATTATTTTCAAGCAATCAAGTATTAAAAAAATTGTATTTTATGTTCAAGTATATTTCATATTTTAAGTATTATATATATTTGATATATATTTAAGATACCATAGAAATGATTTATGATATTCATCTAGACATTGTTGTCAACATAAATGAGAATTACTCTGCATTTTCTAAAAGCGTCCCACAAGATTTTGTGATTTGGGGACCATAACCATCATATCATATAAACCTTTGATGTATATTAGTTCACATTATACATTACCTACAGATTCTGTGCCATCTAGTCAGTCGGCTCGATGTGTGCACAGCCATATTTTCATATGTCTCAGTGCATTGAATTCTTCTGATCCTCATTATGTGAAAAATCCATGAGGGGATTTAATTTGGCAGCTGTTGGTTTGAATTCTTAACATTCATTTGCACACTGCAGATGAACCACACGACTGGATATAGGGATTTTATAAGAGAATCAGCAGTTGCTGTCTTGTGTTTGAGAGGAATCTTTATTCATTTGAACAAATCCTGGATATGCCGTTTGTGATGCATTAATCACAGCGCCAGTCCATTCTGAAGGTCTGAAGATCAGATTTATACAAGAGATCTGATTTTTTTCATGATTTTCAGCAAATATTATTCCTGGATAATGAGCCTTGCATAATGATTTCTTACTGGAACACCTTCCAACAGTGGTGGTCACTTAAAATGTGAGATACATAATGTATAAAACATGTGAAATATAAATGTCTTTACCTTGAAATATATATATGTGTATCTAACCTGAGGGCGTACATCATGATTGTGTTTCAGCCGATATCTGGGAACCCGTTGAATATGTGTATCACTTAATCTCACAAAACATGTCACAAGTCAATTTTTCACCCCAAAATCAAATACACTTTTTTTTTTTTTGCATTATTTTCATGAACGTTTAGCTAATATCTTCTAGCGCAGGGCTTGTGTAAGATGAAAAAAAAAATCTAATTTTTGTTAGAATGTGAAAAAGTATGTTAAACTAAATGATAAAGTACTTACATACATACATAGTAGTATTTTTGTATGGCTTTATATATACTAATTTTAACACACACAAACATAAATCATTTTATTACACTGTAATACTAAAGAGAACAACTACTGAGAATAAAAATATGGGGATGGCTTCTTTATTTTATAAAAAATATACATTTTTGTATTTTGCTTTTCTTTTTGAATTTATAGCATTTAAGGTTAATATTAATATCTTAGTTAATATTAATCAAATTTAATTGCATTTAATTGTGATTAATAAATATTGTAAATTTGTGCATTAATTATTGTATAGTGAAAAAAAGGGACCCAAAATACTTCATTTTTCTTTATAAAAATATTAATTTTTGTATTTTGCTTTTGAATTTTTAGCATTTATAGTTAGTATTAACATCTTAGTTAATATTAATGAACTTTAATTATATATAATTATGATTAACAAATGCTGTAAATAAATCTTTATAAAAATATATATTCTTGTGTTTTGCTTTAGATTTTGGTGTGAAATATGACCTGCACATGTTCTATTTTACCTGGATGTACTAATCTGAGCATGTGTATAGCTGCATATCTTCACTGTAAAAAAAACACAACTGTGGTTGCCGGAATTTACCGTATAAAATACGATAGCAACATTTTAGGTTTTACGGTTTTAACTTAAATTTACAGTTAAATACCGTAATTTCATTAACTGATATAATGTTAATATACCTACTGAAGTACTGAAATCTGTTTTGTACCTTTGTAATACACTGATAACCACCAAATGCAGGTGGTGATGAGAAAGTCACATGATGAATCGCAAGCTTTTAAATAATAACATATATAGAAGGTGCACAGTGTCATTCACACAAACACTAAACACCATCATGGTAACACACATGAAACTGAAATAATGCAATAAACGTTAATTTAACAACATTAGGTGTAACATACAACCCTAATATACAAAACTGATAAGAAAAAACTAAGAAGAAACATAGTTATTTCAACAAAACAACATCAAATTTGAAATGTAACGCAGGGAATTCTGGGAATGTCAATTTACGGTTATTCACTGTAAATTATACGGTCTTTTTCACTTCCAAAAACGGTATACTACCGTAAAATTACATGTAATGTCCAATATAGTTTTTAATCGTATATAGTAGGGGAATTTACCGTTAACCATTTAACAGGTTTTTACTGTAGCATTTTTACAGTCTTTTACTGTTAAATTCACAGTCTTTTTTTACAGTGTTGACATTGTCCATGCCGTCTTATGATATATCACGTCTTCCTCAGATGTGCAACATCTCGAACCTCAGCGCCCGTCTGGACCTGCTGCTCACGATGCGAGAGCTGCCCATCTGTATGGAGGACCTCACACCGGTCAGACTCGCATTACAAACACCTCATATGCACCTGTCAGCCATGTTTGTGTCGGCCTGTCTCTGTTTCTCTTGCTTTCCCCGTCTCTTATTCTCTGAACTCTGCTGAATTGCTTACCGATAGGGCACATTCAGAATAAGCTGCCAGTATAGAATGCATTTATTTCAGAAAGAGAGGCTCTTTTGGATGCATTCATTATTACTTTTAAGTTACAATAAGCAGTGTGCTTGTGTATATGTATTAATTTGCATGTTTGTGTGCACGCTGGCATTTTATTTTGCAGTTAGCACCACACTGCACTGATGATTATGATTGACAGAAGAAACATATGAAAGTTTGTTTATGGAAAAACCATCTCATGTGAACTCAAGTCTTACAGTACGTCTGGAGGAAATCAATATTGAAGCTTCGCAAAGGTGGCTCCCGAGGCACACAGCTGAACGGAGAGGGAAAAAACAAAGAGAAAGAATAAAAAGCTCATTTACTAATGCAAAAGATAATCTTGGCAGACAGCAGGCGCTCAGAAAAATAAATGAAATGGACTTGAGGTGAAAAAAAAGAAGCATGCATTAATACACAGAGGTTCTGTTCGCAACGAATCAGCACTTAGAGTGGGCTGAAGGAGTTTCTAATGGCAAATTTCCTTCAAGTCATTTATTAGTTAGAGAGAGGTAGTGGTGGGCAGGAGGAGATGTAGCCCAAAGAGCACTCTGAATGCTTGTTCTACCTGTGAGTAAAAAAAGGTTGAAATCCCTCTTGTACTTTCAGCGCATCTCAAAAGTTAGTTTTTATTTGAGTTTCTCTATAACCATCTTGCTCTTCTGTTCTGCACCATTGAATACATTTCATTCTGATGTTACGTTCACTCTGTGCTCTGAAATGGGATGCAAAGACGTGACATTGATCTTCACAAGCTTTTCTGTGTGAACAGATGATTATATACCGGCTGGAAGTTTAAGCCAGTAAGTGTGGAGGTCAGGATCATGGACGCGTATGGGATTTTTCCAGAGGTTATGGGTGTTATACGGCATCGAAATCGGCTTGACTCAGCATTCGGGGTGTCAGTAGGGCTTACTTCTTCACCTCAGGAAATTGACAGCTATTTTAGCAGATTTTGCTGTTCTGTCCACCTTGCTGTGCTCGGCCGTGTCACCGATTGTAATCAAAGATGCCGGAAGTCATTTAAATTGCTCACACTTTTGTGTCAATAGTGAGAATCAGGGTTTCAGCAGGTTTTAAACAGTCTAAATTCACCCTTCTACAAATCAAGGCCTTTAATGGTCTTAAATTGGAGCAGAAAGTCTTAAAGTTATGGCATTGAATGTTGCATGCACTGCAAAAAAAAAAAATTAAAAAATATATATATATATGTCTTCCTTAGTATTCATGTCTTGTTTTCCAGTTCAAATATGTAAACATCCTTAAATCAAAATACGTTTACTTGAGATGTAAAATTAATGAATTCTTGTTTTCTGTAAAATGATGTTTTGAAGAACATACACAGACAAAACCAAATTAAACCCTGCGGCTCGTGACGATACATTGAGGTCTTAAGTCATGAAACGATCAGTCTGTGCAATAAACTGAACAGTATTTATATCATTTTTTACCTCTGATCCACCGCAATGTCCAACTGTCCTGAGCGCGTTCAATTAAAAAGATCTGTTGGAAGCTGTATTTTAAAACTGTTAATACTGCTAATACAACTCATTCTGCACTCCCAAACATTTACCGAAAATATTGCCGCATTGTGTTCCCTTTCAGTTTATTCCATAAATTTTCTTTACTTGATCTTAAAAAAAGTCTTAATTTTACCTTCATAAAACCTGCAGAAACCCTGAAAATGCACATGCACATAGCATTTCGTTTGACAACCTCAGCTACTTTTATTTATTTATTCTCCCATTTTCCATGCATATTAAAATCTGTCTAAACAGAATGGGTTTCTGGTGGCATCACCATGACTGATCTCGTTTTTAAAATATACATGAGCCCTTTGACTAAATGTTAAACTAAATATTCTGACGGGGCACATGTAATGCTGTTTAATACGTTTGAAAGGCAGCATCAGACGACATTTGAAACTGTTTTAGTTTCTTAATGTAATATTTTGGTTACACTGTACAATATAATTCCATTTATTAATATCATTACTTGACCATGAAAAATACTTTTTGTCATCTTACTTATTGTTGATTTCAACATACAATAAATGCAATGCTAAAATCAAAAGATTTTTTAATTATTTAATTGACCTGAGCAAACATAAACTAACAATGAACAGTTGTATTTTTATTAACTAATGTTAAAAAATAAATTAATATTGTAACAAATTAGTTGATCATTGTTACTTACTTTAATGCATAAACTAACATTAACTAATGGGACTTTATTATAAACTGCTATATTTCTATAACACTTTACAAGGTTCAATTCCTAACCTAGCCAATGCCTTAAATATCATGAACTAACATTGAACAAACTTCTTTTTACAGCATTTATTAATTTAGGTTCATTTTAATTCATAAATATAATATTGTTCATTAATTCATGTTCATCCTTAATACATTACCTAACAAATGTTAATTTATTTATCATTAATATCATTATTAGTATATGTCAAAATTGACAAGATAATGTCATGGTAACACTTTCAGGTCTGAAAATGCTTCTTTTACCAAATCTTCCACTATTTGCTGTTTTTCTGGTAACCTTTATTTGATTAAATTACTCCGTTAGTGTTGGAAAGATGTTAGATTTTAGATGATTTACAACAGAAGTCTAAAATAATTACGTTTTTAGGTATTTATTTATTTAATTAGAAAATGTAAATTATTTATGGTCTTGTCAGCTCAAAAGGAAAGTAATTTCAAAGGTAGAGTGAGTTATTATTGATTCTTTGGAATAACTGCACTGATGAACGTGTTTGCAGCAAATAAATTGGGTCTATTTTGATTTCATGTTCACTTTAAAGGAACATAATGTTAAAGGAAAAGTATTTTTGGAAGTCAATGGGAACCGAAACTGTTTAGGAACCAACATTCTTCAAAATATCTTATTTTGTGTTCAACAGGAGTCTTACAGGTTTTGAACGACATGAGGGTGGATAAATTAATAATTCACAAAAGTTTGAAAATTCTGTCATCATTAGCTGTTTCCATCGAATCCAGTGAATTTAACTTAACTTATGCACAAAATTGGAATATCGCATAAAACATTTGCGAATAAAGTACCGTTTCCATCCAACAAGACGAAGAGAACAAAATCGTAACTTCGAGATAAACTGGTGCCAAACATCACTAAGAAGTAGTAATTTGCTGCAGTAGGAGAAGCCACTGAGTCTTCTTCGTATATAATAAATTATTTGCACTCAGAGCATGAAGGCAAAATGCAATAAATGCGGCCATGATATCGTGCTTTCGGAGGCGGATGCCTGCTGTTTGGGAATGCAGTAGTGTAATTATACTGAACCACTTTGACAATAGACTTTGGCTCAGGCATTTCAGAATGACCAAAACAACATTTCAGATGCTGTGCAACGAGATCAGTCCGCTGGTTAGTCCAGTTACGCTGTCCCATCGCAACGTTTTTGATGCACATAGCAGAATATATTCAGTAAATGTGCTTCCATCATAGTTTATGCACATATTTTCTTATTGGATAAAAATATATCCTCTTCAAATAAATTTTTGAATGCACATTTTTAGAATTTATGCACGTCTTGGCGTTTATTCGTTTTGCAATATCCCAAAAAGCACATTGAAATAGGTTGATGTTTACTCATCCTCGTGCATGGCTTCCTTTTTTCTGTGGAACAAGAAAATGAAATCTGAAAAATGTCCAAATAATGAAAGTCAATGGGGTTCAATTTTGTTGTTGTTTGGACCTAGCTTGGTGTTTCACAGAAGAATGAAATACAGGCATACAGGTCTAGAACGACTTGAGGAGGAGTAATGATCATTTCTGGCTGAACTATAGCCCTTTAAGATCAATGCTATTTGTGTCTGAAAATGTTATGCTGTATCTCAGTTTGGACCCCTTGAAAAGGTCCTCCATTGTTAAGAGTTCCCAAACAAGTACCCAGCATTCTGTTTCCACCGTCGCCATTAAATCCATGGGATTGTCTGACATGGTTGACTTTTTAAACCTGTAACATTAAGGCGGATTTACCCACCATCTGACAGGCTGGGTGCTAGGGTGGAAAATTGCTCTGGCTTAGAGTGGGGAATACCAAAGAGCTCTCTAGGTGTGTTGTTTTTTGTCTCAGAGCTTTCTGAGGAATGCTAACTCCTTGTGGCATTGTGAGCTTTTAGTAAACAGAGAGCGTGTTATGCTCCAAGAGCTCACGTGGGGAGCGAAACGCAGGAGTTTGAGTGAAAAATGCAAGAAGATCACTCGTGTGGAGTGTTGGAAAGAAGCTTAGCTGAAGTTTCTGCCCACTGGGACTTGATTAGCATTGCTAGCTTTGGTCAAATTAATGTTTTAAGGGTGTGAATAACCAGGTAGAAATCAAGCAGAGGGCTGGAAGGAAGTTGATTGAGTCTGTGAGCAAGAGGGAAGGCTGCGATGGAAACAGACGGGCATATGGTCTGACAGTTTGTCTCATAGATCGTAGACATCAAATCAAGCTTCTCCTTTGGTTGCTGTCTTCGCTGTTGCTCTTTACTCAGGGGTTCAGCTTGATATAGGGCTTGGAAAATAACTAATACCGCAAACAGCTTTGGCAATTATTTAATACCTTTCAGTCTTACCTGTTTATCTTGGATAATCACAAGGGCTTTTCCCCAAGAGTACCATAAACTTGTTTCCTGAGGTATTAATAGGAATGTAAATCAGACTGCCTGAATGAATATGGTGTATCTAATTTGGTGAACTTAATTGGAAGTACTCCAGTGTGGTTCTGGGAATATTACACATTCAGTCTGTATCACTGTGAGTTTAGTGTTCACAAATGCAACTTATCAGACTGAATCTAACGTTTTATATCTAGACAACTGTCATGGTGTAAATAGTATGCATCTGGTATTAATGCACTGTCTGTATAATAATAATAATGCTAATAATGATAATAATAATAATAATGATTATTATTATTTCTATCACGTTAGCTTTTATTTTATTATCCAGCATTAATTTGGCTATAATTAATTTAAGTGGATGCTGCACACTGGTGGTGGTTGAGGAGAGACCCCCTCATATGATTGTAAAGCGCTTTAGGTGTACAACAATACACAATAAAGCGCTATATAAATACATCATTCATTCATTCATTCATTCATAATTTACTGCATTAACTAGCTTTTAGAAAAGCAGCATTACTTACAACATAGCCTAAAACAATGCTGAAATAGCTATAATTTTTCTATAAGTTGGCATCAGCTGAACAGTGTTTCAGAGGCCAAACAAGCCGTTATATTCTGATAAACGATTAGAAAGGCAGCATGCACAAGAACACCAGGAACGTGCATTAAGGAAGTAAATAGCATCAATTTTGATTTCATGTTGACTTGAAGTTGTTAATTGATCATCCACTGTAGTTCACTGGCGTTGTTTTCTGTAATATTAACCTTAGTCATATACCATTCTGTTCCAGAGTTTTGATTTAGCACGTGTTCTTGTCAAGCACTCTTGTAAAAAGTGCCTTGTTGACGGATGGTAGTCATTGATTGTACCTGGTACTTGTTACTTCAGCAAGAACCCCTTAACACGATGGCTACCAATCCTCAGGTTTAACTTTCGTTCCAGCTTCAAATAATAAATAAAAGCACTTCCTGTGTAGGCGCTGACATACACTTGACAGGAACGGTCTGTGTCAACAGGACCTCTGAGAAATCCGGCTGCGCTTAAGTGCCGACGGCTGTTAAGTGAGAGGCAGGAAAAAGTTTGCGCTTCGATTAGTTGGAGATGACATGTTCTGGCCTCTGTGTTTGTCTTGCAGCTGATTACCCAGAAGATCCGCATGTGCCAGCAGCTGTGGACTTGTGACTCGTTTGTCAGAGTGCTGGAGTACCTTCTGGTCTTGGGCAATTACCTCAACCAGAACGCGGGCAAGGACAGGGCCAAGGGATTTCGCCTCTCATCCTTAACTAAGGTAAGACCTGCAACCGCCAGCAAATGACCTGTGGGGGATGGCGAGGAGAGCCAGGGCTAATAAAACTTCTTATTGGCATACAGGACAAACATCTGCTGGGTTTATTTCTCTCTTTCTTTTTTTCACCGGTTCTCATTTCTGATCCAGTTGTTGGTTTCAGCATTGAGGATTGAACTAACAATATGGGATGAGATTTTTCAAAATAATGCAGGTTTTCCAGTTTTCAGTCATTAGCAGTCTCTATTTTTGGTCACTTTGTGTCAAACGCACAGCTTTGCACACAAACGAGCTGACCAAATAGTCACATCTCCTGAAATACCACCTCTCACATACGCTACCATTCAAAAACATGTTTTTTCTTAAATAAATTAATACTTTTATTCAGCAAGGATGTGTTAAATTGATCAAAAGTGACAGTGAAGAGATTTAGAATGGTTGGTTATTTATTTATTTATTAAATGCTTTTATATTCTGACTGGTGAAGCACAAACATTTTATTTATGTATAATGTTACAAAAGATTTCTATATTAAATAAATTCTGTTCTTTTGAACTTTCTATTCATCAAAGAATCCTGAAAAAATAAAGATCCACCAAAATATGAAGCAGCTTAACTGATTTCAGCATTGATAATAATCAGAAATGTTTCTTGAGCAGCAAATCAGTATATTAGAATGATTTCTGAAGATCATGTGACACTGAAGACTGGAGTAATGATGCTGAAAATACAGCTTTGATCACAGGAATAAATTACATTTTAAAATATATTCAAATAGAAAACAGTTATTTTAAATTGTAATAATATTTCATAATATTACTGTATTTTTGATCAAATAAATGCAGGCTTGGCAAGCATAATAGACTTCTTTTAAAAACATCATAAAGTCTTATGACCCATATTGCGACTCCTTTTCTTATAATATTGCATTGAATATTTAGATTTTTTTATTAATATGTTTTGTTGATATTGTTTCCAAAGGACAAAATACAATATATTGTAAATGTATTCAAATATATCCACATATAAATAAATAAATATATAAATCGTTTGAGAGTGTAGAGAGACTGACTCAATTACATTATTCACAAAGCTGTATAGGAGTGGATGGTTGCTGCTGCGTTTCCAGATGTTTCCAGAAATTGAAAGAACTGCAAGGATCATGGACAATCTGTCTTAAAAAAGTTATTGTTAAAAATCAGTTAGGGAGAATATTAATACGTTTTTTGCTTCCAAAACCCTGTTGTTGCACTCTATTATGATGCATTGCATGGCATCTTGTGGCGTGTCATATCGTGACGTACTTGCCACTATGCCCTATGCTTTTACTCATGTTTATACGACTGCACCCACTACACAAATCAGATGTGCCACGCAGCGAGTTTCTCTTTGTTGTTTGACTCTACAAACTATTGCCGCAGCGGCCCAATTCATTAGCCACACGGCATGGCCTTTTTTTAGAGCTCGCTGAGTCACTAGTGAAACGCAGATAATTTGTATCGATTTTTGCAGCCAGGTGCTTGAAACCCAGTTCCTCAGTGGCAAGATTTAAGGGCACTTGCACCATAAGCTGAATGACTTCCTCCTTTGCTAATGAGGATCTGAGTGCAGCCCCCCTGCACTTCATCCATAGAAATATGACATAGATCATAACTGCATGCTTATTTTAGAGTGATGAATTAAAACTTTTGCGATTAATGAAACACCCTGCCATGGGTGCCATGTCATCATGACATTTTCAAAAAAATAAAAGGCATTTTATCATTTAATATATCTTTCTTTTTTTGTTATCGGTATATGAAATTTGAAGAACTTTGCACATTTATTCTTAAATCTATATTAACATTTGAACTTACTGTATGGCACTGTTTAAAGCGAATTTGAGACCAAACAGGATTTCCAGACCAAACAACCTTCTGGAATATAGTGAATTGTAGCAATTTATGGTCAAGTATGTTTGTATAATGACTGCTAAACTATATAAATAACTGTTGTTTTATGTTTCTTAAATATCCCAGTGCTCTTTTTATCATCACATGAATAAATAAATAAAATAAAATAAAATAACTTTCAAAATTTTGGAGTCGGTAAGACGTTTAAATGTTTTTGAAAGAAGTCTCTTTTTGTTCACCAAGACTGCATTGATTTGATTAAAAATACAGTAAAAACAGTAATATTGTGAAATATTATTACAATTTCAAATAACAGTTTTCTATTTGAATTTGTTTTAAAATGTAATTTATTTCTGTGATGTAAAGCTGAATTTTCAGCATCATTACTCCAGTCTTCAGTGTCTCGTGATCCTTCAGAAATCATTCTGATATGCTGATTTGCTGCTCAATACAATACAATATCATTACAATAGTAACAATGTAGAAGGATTCACCGTCACTTTTGATCAACTTAATGTGTCCTTGCTGAATAAAAGTAATAAAAAAAATGTAAAAAATCTTACTGACTCCAAACTTTTGAACAGTGGTGTATGCATTTATTTATTTATTGCGTAGTCAAGAGAAGCCACCAAATATACAAAAATCTGATTTTAGTAAAATTATAAAACACATTCATATATTTAGATTTTTTAGATGATACCACACAATGTGTCTGAACTAAGCCTATGCTTTGAACAAACAGTGTATTTTGATTCCTCCTGGTCATCTTTTAGTTTTGTAGAATGGGTTCGGGTTTGAAATCGTAAACAACACAACCTAGAAACAGAGAACAGGCCCCATTTCCACCCATCTGAAGATCGCCATTTAGCTCCCTCTGAGTTTTAAATTAGCTGCAGCTGAAATTGTCGCAGTGGCTTCATGTCTACATGCATTACCACAAATAACAGGTCTAGAGAGCCTGATAGATCTCCGCTCTTGTTCTCTGCGGAGAGCAGTTGAAACAGTCGCTCTTAAACAAGCATGCTGGTTTCTGTGGCATGAGTACTTGCTTTACATGTTCTTACTTTAAAAAGATTCAATTGAGATAGGAGTGTTTGTGTTTAGCACGTATCACTTCATTAATTTTAAGTGCTTGGGTTATTCACTTTACTGCTGGATAAGTGTGAAACTTTTTTGAATTAGCAGCTATATTTCTTCTGCATGATCAAGACATGCATTTATCACTTATCATTATCACCATTTAGCTTACTGTACAAATTCTCAATCTTTAATAAAAAGCACTCGCGTGAGGCTGCGGCACTCGACAATATTTGCATTGTGGTTAATCAGAGAGCAGAACCTTTGAGATGTCAAGGAGATCCTTTTGTAAAAATGTTAACGTTTTTTTCACATGTGCACAATAGAGGTGCGCTTCGGTACAAGAACGTTATCTTCTTCCATTTTTAGCTGATGGTAATATGCATGTGGGTGTTGAATTGTCAAACCTCACTCTTTCTCTGGCCTTGGGTAAGATATTGGTATTCAAAGATGCATGCATAAACTCTCACAAATCTTCTGCATGATCAAGACATGCATTTATCACTTATCATTATCACCATTTAGCTTACTGTACAAATTCTCAATCTTTAATAAAAAGCACTCGCGTGAGGCTGCGGCACTCGACAATATTTGCATTGTGGTTAATCAGAGAGCAGAACCTTTGAGATGTCAAGGAGATCCTTTTGTAAAAATGTTAACGTTTTTTTCACATGTGCACAATAGAGGTGCGCTTCGGTACAAGGACGTTATCTTCTTCCATTTTTAGCTGATGGTAATATGCATGTGGGTGTTGAATTGTCAAACCTCACTCTTTATCTGGCCTTGGGCAAGATATTGGTATTCAAAGATGCATGCATAAACTCTCACAAATGCACACCCAAGATAAATATCTGTTTACCTCCAATACCTTCAGGACAGATGGGATATTTGATTGGGGATAAAAGACCAATCGTTCCCAGACCTCCTCCTAATTGTTCCCAACCGCTGCCTACATAGACAGCTGCCTTCTAAGGAAGCATCCTGACTGTTATTGAACCTAAAAGTGATCAGATTGTAACACTCTACATTGGCAACTGTTACACAAATAGCACTTTGTACTTGACAGTCAATTGATTCCAATAGAAATTATTGTTAGTATATTGGAGTGTTATTTTTATATAACTGAGATACCAATACCATTATAGTTTTAATTAATATATTGATTATTAATATATCAAGTTTTCATTTTTCCATTTTCCATTTTCATTTTAAATTTAGTTAAAGTTTTAGTAATTTTGTTGTGTTTTTGTCATTTTTAGTTTTTATATGTCTATATTGTTTTTATACATTTTTATTTCAGTTTTAGTTATTTTATCATGTTAAACTAAATAAAAAAATGGGAAATGTTGCCTTGTCAACTAGCTGAAATAAAATATGTTTTTTTGTATATTTTATTTTAATATTTATATTTTAAATCTTTTTATTTATTTATTTATTTGTATTTTAACCAGTTATTTTGTATATGTATGTATGAATGTATGTATATTTGTACAGTATTTATTAATTTAATTTATTTATTCAATAAAATATTTATTTGTTATTATCATTTCATATAATATGTTTTTTTAATTTGCTTTTTTTAGTAATGAATGGAATATATTTATTGCATAACATGTATTTGTAGTAATTTCTGTCACCTCATCTGCCATCTTAAATGTATTTTTTTTTTCCATTGAGGTTGTCACAATGCAATTGTGGGACTGACTTCACTGCATTTTGGATAAATCAAAATAAGTGTCTACAATGCCTTAAAATGCTGTCTACATAGGTTTTGGGGAGAGCACATGTATCATCAATTTTCAAGCACAGGTGCATGGAAAAACTTCCACAAACACATTCATTATTTTTCCCTCCTTTTCCCAGCTTTCTCAGCTGCGCGGGAACAATCGGAATTTCACCTTGCTGCATGCCCTTGTGGAGCAGATCATGTTGCGAGAACCACGTTTGGCCACCTTTTTCCTGGAGCTTGCGGAATTTGAGACTGTTCCTGGAGGTACTCTAATCAAAATTGAATTGCAAGGGAAGATGTGATAGATGTTTTTGGGGCTGATTTGATCGAATGCCTTCTGATTGTGTGTTTCTGTGGTTTTCCTGCAGCTTCGGTTAAAGGTCTGACAGCAGAGGTGGACGGTACGTGGACGCTCTCATCAGATGTATTTTGTGATGCTGCTGCACTAAACTCGTTTGTAGATGTCAGTGTTTCAGAAAGGGATGCTTGATTGAGCACATTTGATTACAGAATATCACAATTTCACTGCTTTATTCAAGCATGGTCAAGCATTTCATACAGTTTATAACTTTTTAATCAGTTGAGCATTACATTCAAACCTGATGCTGCTTGGCTTTGTTTGTGCATTAATGCATAAAGGCATTGCTATTGAGTTCATAGAGTGTAGGGGGTTCATTATAAATGTCCTTAATCACATATTTTTTCCCCTTTTGTCACCATTTAGTAGTGAAGAATGAATTTCAGAAGATCGTTCAGTACAGGAAAACATACAGTAAAAGTAAAAATGAAGTCAATCAGCACCCCAAATTCTTCAAAGACTTAAAGGTAATTTACAAATACATTTAGCCATTTTGCAGACACTTTTATCCAAAGCGACTTACAAGTGGGGAATACATTAAAGGGGTCCTATTATGCGTTTTCACTTTTTAATTGTAGTCAGTGTGTAGTGTGTATGTTTGGGCATTAAAAAGATCTAGAAAGTTACAAATCTCAAAGTCCACTCCAAATAGAGATATTTAGTTTTTTAAAAATCCCTTTTCAAGAACTACAACAAACGGCTCGTTTGGACTACAGCGTTTGTTTTCCGGGCTTTGTGATATCACAAAGCGGCTCATTAGAATTTCATTACACATAAGTCCCGCCTACAGAAATTCAAATGGTTGGGGGGTGGGGAGGGGCAAGGTTGTGGTTAGAGCGCTTGGTTGAGTGAGCGCATCAGAGAGACGACCGAAGAAGAAGTGCTGCTGCAGAGTTAGTGCATCAGAGAAAACCAAGAAAGGAGAAGCCATGTGCCTGTATGATGGGACCCAGTGATGTTGTGTATATGGAGAAGAGGAGGGATCCAAGAACTGATCCCTGAGGAACCCCCAGTGACCAGTTGATGTGCTTTGGATACGTCCCCTCCCCAATAACCAATTATGTTTGCTGTATTGTATCACATAATCAAGTTACTTGAATTCATTATGAATTTGAAAGAAAACATTGGTATTAATGGCATGTTAATGTGATTTAATTAGTTTTTCTCTGGAATATTTTGAATCATTGTTATTAGTCAATAACAATGAATGGGAACTGAAGCTTTTTTTTCCTTTTCAAAAGCACCATAAAAGTATCATTAAAACATAAAAAGAAATATATTGTGTGATATATTCTACATCGTTGAAAGTTAAGTCGTTAGTCTGATTGATTTTCTAATCGTCAAGCGAGCTGAAGATTAGAACTGTGACCAGATCATTGATTCAGTGAGCTGAACTCAAGAATCAATCAGATTAACTGTGTGAACTGGATTCAAAGATTCAAAAGAATGACTCAATTTGGACACAGCTAATTCTCTCAGTGAATAATGATCCAAATGTCAACCTTTTTGAAAGAAAACATGGATAATAATGCCTTTTTCTTCTGTGTTTCTAGAAGTTTCTTTGGTGAAACATTTTGAATTATGTACTAGTCAGTAACAATGAATGGGGACTGAAGCTTTTTTCCTTTCCAAAAAGAATGCAATAGCACCATAAAAGTATTGTGAAAAAAAATATATTGTGTGATATATTCTAAGTCATTGCGATTTTAGTAATTCCTTGATAATCTTCTCTTCAAGCAAGCTCTCAATCACTGTGACCAGATCAGTGATTCTGTGATTCACTCAAGAATCAGTCAGACTGGATCAAAAGATCCAATTCAAAAGTATGACTCAAACTGGACAAAGCTACTTCTCTGACTGAATAATGATTCAAATGTTGGTCTTTTCCTCACACAAAGCTATTATATGACTTCAGAAGAATAGCAAGTCACATGACACATTATGATGCTTTTATGCTGGTTTTTACTCAGTTTGGACCTTGACAGCCCCTGTGCTTATTCCTTTTCATTATACTGAAAAGACCAGCCAGGCTGTTTTTTAAAAAAATCCTATGCACTGCATTATTCTTGAACGACTCCACAGAGAAAGGAAGTTAATCTAGCTTGTATAAAGCACAGGCTCTTGAGAGCTGCTTGTTTGATACACGTTTTCACTGTATTAAAGCTTTTCTGATGCAGTCTGGTTGGAGAGAAATACTGGTAATCAAAAGCCTCTGAGGCTGGTAGTGCTAAGAATTCTAGTGCTACTTCTCCAAAAACGAAAAGAAGGAGAAAGCGCAGCCATAACACCTCTTCCTTTATCTCCGGCTCTAGGCGGCCATTGAGAAGCATGAGGCTGATCTCAAACAGCTGATGAAGAGGAGTGAGGAGATGAGGAAGCTCTACACTGACATATTGGTAATCCTTGAGTTATTATTTCAATATCTTCTGTTGTGTTGCTTTGGGAGACGGATGGGCCGGGATCTCCGGCTATCTGGAGATTGGCCTTTCTCTGCTTATCTGTGCCAGGTGGACTGAGGTAGAAGAGGGGAAAATATTTCAGCCCACCCATTCATCAAGGTTACACTGGGCTTTTTTTTTGGTCTCACTGTGAGGGACAGGATGCTGGTTTGAGATAAGTGTTGTGATAAGCTCTTTATGATGTCCATGGTTTGTTTATATCAATAAATATGTTATGAGCACAGAAGATTGCCTACAGTGGCCCAGAGGTGAATTTGCAACAAAAATTAGCAAAGCAACTAAAAATTAAACATTTAAAAAAAAAATGTTTATTTATTTTCATTGTTTTGTTGTTGGATATTTGTTTGCTTTCATTTAGATTTTTAAAAAATATTTGTTATTTGCTTTGGCTACTGAAAACCAGAGTTAGTAGACATCAAATTATTATTATTATTATTATTATTATTAGAAATTATTATTAAATAAAGAAAATAAATACAAAAATAAAAATATAAAAAGTAAAATTGTTATCAATAATAAAAAAGTTTTTTTAACTAAAATATTTGTAAAAAAAAGAATAATAATAATAATACACAACATACAGAAACAATATATAGAAAAATTCATTGCAGCTCTATAAAGCAAAATACATTTTGGTTTGCTAATTTTGTCATTTTATGGCCTTCTGGGTAAATGTAATCCAAGTTAATCCTGAAATTCAGTACATGTGACACCTCAGAAATTTTTCAAGTTACATCATGATTTACTCTAACGATTAAAAGTTTAGGGTCAGTAAGATTGTTTTTGAAATAAAGTAATATTTCCTTATTTAGCAAGAATGCATTAAATTTATCAAAAGTGAGAGTAAAGACATTTATAATGTTTCAAAGGATTTCTATTTCAAATAAATGCTGTTCTTTTGAACTTTCTTTTCATCAAAGAAAAAGAAAAATGAATAATACGATCTATCTCGGTTTCAGCACAAATATGAAGCAGCACAACTGCTTTCAACTTTGATAATAATAAGAAATGTAAAATCCGCAGATCAGCATATGAGAATGATTTCTGAAGGATCATGTGACACTGAAGACTGGAGTAATGACGCTTAAAATTCAGCTTTACATCACAGGAATAAATTACATTTTACAATATATTACAATAAAAAACAGTTATTTTAAATTGTAAAAATATTTCAAAATATTACTATAAATACTGTATTTTTAATAAAATAAATGCAGCCTTGGTGAGCGCAAGACCCCAAACTTCTGAACAGCTGTGTATGTGCTATGTTTCTACTTATTTCTGAGAGAAAACAAAACAATGTAACTGCTTTTTGCAATAAAAGCCCAGCTGGACTGAATCAGGGCCAAAATATACACAGCTTTCTTAATAATAAAAAACGAATTCTTAAGAAGAGTCCTTTTCCTCTGTTTGTAATGTGTTATGTATTTCCCAACTGTCCCAATTTTCTTCAAGACCATCCATAAAGACTGCGAGTAGTTCAGCCTATTGTGAGCTTGACAGGATGAGGAGCGAGTTTCCTGCCAGGATGAGAATCGCTTTAGTTTCACAATTACAGCCCAAACTTTCAGTCTTGGGCAAAAAACAGCAAACAGCAACTTGGGGTTGTTGAGCCAGAAATAATGGGGAGAACAGAGCTAGGATGAAGAGAGAAACTGAGAGTGATTGGAAATAAAACAGGTTTTTTGGCCATTATATAGTCTATTTCGTTTTTCAGCATTACGGTTATAAATCTGGCATTTCTGGTGTCTGCAGGTATGAATGTAATTGCACGGTGGATCAAAGCATTAGTTGGTTAAAAAATTCACATTTTCAACCAATATTTGCAAAGTATCTAGAAGTGCAGGATATTAACAATTGTCTGTCAATTTTTAGTTTTTTAATATTTGATTTTGTTGTTTTTTTTATTTTTTTTTTATTTTGAACGATGTGTTATCTTTTGCCTACTACTGTTAGTAGACACCAAATAAGTTGAAAAATACATACTTAAAAATATTTTTTAAAAAGCTTTCTATTATTAATAACATTTTATATAAATATATATTTATAAATACTACTATTAATGTATTTTATATTTATGTATAAAAATAATGCTACACAATATATAAAAATATTTGTATTTATATTTTGACTTACAATTAGACATTAACAATTACAATATGAAGCAATTTTTATTGTATTAAGTGATATAGGAATAAACGTGACAATATCAGTGTTCACACTAGAAATGTAGGTTTTTAACAAATATTTTACAAGCAATGAAGCAATTTTTATTGCATAAAGCGATATATGAATAAACAGCATCACTGTTCATGTGGTTCATTTTTCTTCCACAGATAAAATTCGGAGAGCCTTTGGATCAAGACTCCCAAGAAATTTTCGGATGGATTTTCCAGTTTGTGAATGACTTCAAGAAAGTGTACTCTGAATACGCTCAATGAAGCCAAATTTCCATTCACATTTAATACAGTAGGTGTTCGTATGTCTGAATTTGCACCTGCTTTCTCAGGCATGTCATAAAATTCCACTGGGAACCGTCTGTAGAAACAGACTTATCTGCAAACTGTGACTGATGTTTTCTGGATCTTCCCCAGTGCTGGTGTTTAGTTTGATTAAAAGTCTTGGCGAGCTGGATCGTGCGGTTCTTTGACCTGGCGCTACAGCAAACAGCTCGTTTTTCAGACGCTTTCTGGAGGCGCATATCATTTTAATGGATGTCAGTGATAAATTCACAGATGGCTGGTGTGAAAAAGGCATTCTGGTTCAGACAGCCAGCTGAATGGCTTCCACGTGCGTCTGCTGAATCGCCGACTCTCTCTGTGGCCTTGAGCGCATGTGTGTTTTCTGGATGATACAGAGTCGAGTCCTCAGTGGCGGTTCAGCAGAGGACATCTGCATTTCACACATTTCAAAACAGACTCCTCTTCGTTATTCTTTTGAGGATTTCATTCAGTAAATGAAGAGGACGAATAAAAGAGGACGAAACAAATATCTTTTTAAGTCTGATTCCCTTTGAATAACACTAGGATTTACAAGTGTGTGGCTTGTAATCCCTTTGTAATGAACATCCGTAGCAGTTTGTCCGCAGTTGCAGGGATGGTTCACCCAAAAATGAAAAATCTGTCATCATTTACCTTTGTGTCATGATTTTCTTTCTTCTGTGGAACACAAAAACGGATGTTAAGCAGTATGTTTAGGCTTTTATTAAGCACTATTTTTATTATTATTTCATATCCATCTGTCCATCTATCTGTCCATCGACTCCATCCTGAAAACTGCTTATCCTCTAAAGGGTTACAGTGGACAGATTATTCTATTCTATTCTGTCCCATCCCATCCCATCCTATCCTATCCTATCCTATCCTTTCCTATCCTAGCCTATTCCCATCAATCCATTCTCCAAACCACCATCGATTTTTACAAAGCTCATCGTTCTGAAAAGTGAGGTGTGCTCTGATTGGCCAGCTATCCAGTGCGTTGTGATTGGCCGAATACCTCAAGCGTGTGACGGAAATGTTACGCCCCTAGCATACTGTGATGCCGTGTCCCGGAGCGATGTGACAAAAAGATTAAAACCCTTTATAAACGAGGCATTTGTTGCATCCAGTGGGGACATAATTACTGATTATAATGACTTATACTGTCTTTTTACGCGTTGCGTTGCATCGCGCCGCGTAAACATAAAACCATGTCTGCATTTGTGATCGGAGAAATGACAAACAACAAGCGTAAAATGCGTTGCTCACATCTAAATATTTGGGTTGAACTGTTCTGGAACAGTGTTGTAAATACAACGTAACCACTGATTTCTAGTTGTGTCCTCTTTTGGAAGACCAAACAAAGTATTTTCGTTTTAACAACAAAACACAGCGTCTCTACGACATGGCGGTGGCGGCAACAACAATACTAC